AGAGTTAAGGGTTTCAGAAATTAAAACCATACCATTCAAAATAGGAAAGGCAGCCATGAATTTAAAAAAAAAACTTGAAAGGACCAAGAATGCTCAACGAAGTCTGTTCTGACTTAAAAACAAAACTCAAATGCATTCTTAATTAGAAGAGCAAAAGCTCTCTGAAATTTTAAATGCAGCACACCGATTTATTATTAATTTATTCAGTTTATACCCCTTATACCCAAGAATGTGGGTTATTGTATTTGGCACCCAAATGCAATGTTTGTCAAGTTTCAAAAAGTAGTCGATTTGGAAAACGAAGTGATGTAGGAGTATTCGTTTCCAGACCTATCCGGAGGGAAACATGGAAGTCTGAAGCAATGCTCGAACTGAATAAAGTCTCTCCAAAGCATCAAATTTTGCTTCACTGCTTTGGTGGCTTAAAGCCCAGAGCAGCAGCTTTTATTCTAAAGGATCCTGCAGGGGTGGGAATGATTGCTGGCTAATAGAGCCCAGTTAATGCTGAATGGATTCATGGAAGGGTAGAAGCTGGGCAATGTATGAATCTGTTTGGCTGCCAATAATTGGGTGGCAGTGGTAAGGAAATCAAGGAAGGATCATTGGTGGGGGCTTTGCCTGCACAATGAAGGTTGAGCTGTAGTTGACAGTACCAGGTTTCACCTTCTCTCCCAGATCCCTTTATCTTTCCCCCTTTTCATGGTTTTTCTTGTACAGATACTCCAAAATATTCAAACAAGCTGAACTGGACAGGCTCCAGACCAGCTTGAAATGAATCAGATGCACTTTGGAAGGCAAATAATTTGGACCGAATGGATGGCATTGGCACATCTTTAAGTTCCGACATAAGTATGGAATGGAAAAGGCACTCCCATGCCCATTCAGTTGGGCTAGGCTTACCAATACATGTTCCTATCACCACTCCAGGACAAGAATAAGCCTATCCCATCCTTCACAGCACTGTACTGGAAGAGAAAAAAGGAGCAACAGTGAAATACAGGATGACTTCCTGGTATCTAGCTAACAAGGCAGAGAAAGAGTAGACTCACACTGTTTCATGCAGTCCTGGATCACTTTGGGCATATACAGGCAAACAGAAGGAACAAAATAGATCCGCACAAGTACAGGAAACAGGGAACTCAGCAAGTACAGGAACATCTTTCTCCTGTCTCAGAGATGAAAACTGTTCCTGCCTCTATATAGTTAACATTCAAGTTAAACGATGAGGCATTTAGCCCTGGCTCTCTCTGGACGGCTGGGAATGTGCCAAGAGCTCATGGGCATGCAGTCACTCCTTGATTTCCTGGCCTCCTTTACAGCGAAAGCTGAAATCCAGAAGAGTAGAAATAGCAGAGAATTTTGGGAGAGCTGCCTTTTCAAGTGAAAACTCTCAGAATCCCCCAGCGATTATGGCCACTGCTCATGCTGCCTAAGAGACATGGAACTTGCACTCAGAATATCTTCTCTCTGCATCAAAAAGACATCTACAAACCATCCATTAACCTATCATGGTTCTTGGCGATTTACTTTAAATGTATTCACAAGGAAGTCTCCTTCTCCCATCACTTCCATCTTATCATGTGCACGACAACAGAACTTCTCTAGCTGCAGGCCTCCCACATAATTGGGAACCTGGAAATGAAAGCTTCTGATCATGTGGAGAGTCTCCAGGCATAGAGGAAGTCTCCTCTTCAGTCTGTTATTCTCCACATGTCCACAGTAATGGCAGAAGGGAGCAGGGCTGGTGTGCTCGCCATCTCGAGTAACTATTTAAGGTTGATTTTAAAAAAAATTGAGTAGGGCAGGTATTTAAACAAGGAAGTCTGATTCTCAGTGAGCTTGTGGTCTGGAGGGAGTCCTGTAAACTGGTTTGGAGTTCTGGACAAGACACTCTAGTTCCGTCCTGTAAACTGGTTTGGAGTTCTGGGACAAGACACTCTAGTTCCGTTTTCAAAGGAGGAAAAAGAAAACACGCTAGCAAGCAACAAACCGACTATGGTGGCTAAACGTGACAGCTATGAAGCAATCTTTGTTCCATGTACAGAACAGACAAGAGCAAGGAAATGGGTTAGCAGGGGGAAAGTGTGCATGGTAGGTATAAATGGATAGGATCTTAGGGTTCAGACTGCTATTTCTGTCCCCAAATGGAGATGGGCCAGGAGACTTGATATATTTCAATACTGCTGTGTAGCGAGATACAACAAAGGCATTTTTGAAAAATGACTGAAGGGTTAACATTGCTAGACATTACCTCCTGTCTACACACCTACCTACAAGACTATTCAAAGCTTTCTTCTACCAAGCTTAACTGTAGGTTTGGTGCATCTAGCTACGTGTTTTGGACTTCCATGTTTCTGTCCTTCACCTGATTTTTTCCCCCACCACCTAGCTTGTGGAAGAGTTCTGGAAAATTGGAAGGCTTGTATATGTTTACTGACGTGCAGCAGGATTTCTCTTCTGAGGCATGCAAATGGGTCAGCAGGGCACAGATGGAAAAGTTAACAGCACAACTTCCTGCAAGACAAGGCACGGATTGCGGGAAAAAGCCGCCCTGCATTGCAACCACATAATTTTGGAAAAGTTCTAAACCAAGAAGCTCACAACTCAGCCCTCAATTTCGAGATACCTCTTCTTGTAGATCAGCAAAGTTTTACAGGTTTACTCTTTCAACCAGCAATTCCTGGCTGTTGCTTTCCAAAAGCTAAAACGAATGCAGCTGAAGCGGTATGGAATTTCTGAAAAATATTGCATGTTCAAAAGGCTTTAAGGTTACAGGAATAAGTACTATGGCTGTTTCTGTTTGTTTCTTTTTGGCTTATTTGTAACATACACATGCATGTCTCATCACGAATGCACGCCAGTGAAATACAGGATGACTTCCTGGTATCTAGCTAAGAAGGCAGAGAAAGAGTAGACTCACACTATTTCATGCAGTCCTGGATCACTTTGGGCATATACAGGCAAACAGAAGGAACAAAATAGATCCGCACGAGTACAGGGAACAGGGAACTCAGGAAGGACAGGAACATCTTTCTCCTGTCTCAGAGATGGAAACTGTTCCTGCCTCTATATAGTTAACGTTCAAGTTAAATGATGAGGCATTTAGCCCTGGCTCTCTCTGGACGGCTGGGAATGTGCCAAGAGCTCATGGGCATGCAGTCACTCCTTGATTTCCTGGCCTCCTTTACAGCGAAAGCTGAAATCCAGAAGAGTAGAAATAGCAGAGAATTTTGGGAGAGCTGCCTTTTCAAGTGAAAACTCTCAGAATCCCCCAGCGATTATGGCCACTGCTCATGCTGCCTAAGAGACATGGAACTTGCACTCAGAATATCTTCTCTCTGCATCAAAAAGACATCTACAAACCATCCATTAACCTATCATGGTTCTTGGCGATTTACTTTAAATGTATTCACAAGGAAGTCTCCTTCTCCCATCACTTCCATCTTATCATGTGCACGACAACAGAACTTCTCTAGCTGCAGGCCTCCCACATAATTGGGAACCTGGAAATGAAAGCTTCTGATCATGTGGAGAGTCTCCAGGCATAGAGGAAGTCTCCTCTTCAGTCTGTTATTCTCCACATGTCCACAGTAATGGCAGAAGGGAGCAGGGCTGGTGTGCTCGCCATCTCGAGTAACTATTTAAGGTTGATTTTAAAAAAAATTGAGTAGGGCAGGTATTTAAACAAGGAAGTCTGATTCTCAGTGAGCTTGTGGTCTGGAGGGAGTCCTGTAAACTGGTTTGGAGTTCTGGGACAAGACACTCTAGTTCCGTTTTCAAAGGAGGAAAAAGAAAACACGCTAGCAAGCAACAAACCGACTATGGTGGCTAAACGTGACAGCTATGAAGCAATCTTTGTTCCATGTACAGAACAGACAAGAGCAAGGAAATGGGTTAGCAGGGGGAAAGTGTGCATGGTAGGTATAAATGGATAGGATCTTAGGGTTCAGACTGCTATTTCTGTCCCCAAATGGAGATGGGCCAGGAGACTTGATATATTTCAATACTGCTGTGTAGCGAGATACAACAAAGGCATTTTTGAAAAATGACTGAAGGGTTAACATTGCTAGACATTACCTCCTGTCTACACACCTACCTACAAGACTATTCAAACCTTTCTTCTACCAAGCTTAACTGTAGGTTTGGTGCATCTAGCTACGTGTTTTGGACTTCCATGTTTCTGTCCCTCACCTGATTTTTTCCCCCCACCACCTAGCTTGTGGAAGAGTTCTGGAAAATTGGAAGGCTTGTATATGTTTACTGACGTGCAGCAGGATTTCTCTTCTGAGGCATGCAAATGGGTCAGCAGGGCACAGATGGAAAAGTTAACAGCACAACTTCCTGCAAGACAAGGCACGGATTGCGGGAAAAAGCCGCCCTGCATTGCAACCACATAATTTTGGAAAAGTTCTAAACCAAGAAGCTCACAACTCAGCCCTCAATTTCGAGATACCTCTTCTTGTAGATCAGCAAAGTTTTACAGGTTTACTCTTTCAACCAGCAATTCCTGGCTGTTGCTTTCCAAAAGCTAAAACGAATGCAGCTGAAGCGGTATGGAATTTCTGAAAAATATTGCATGTTCAAAAGGCTTTAAGGTTACAGGAATAAGTACTACGGCTGTTTCTGTTTGTTTCTTTTTGGCTTATTTGTAACATACACATGCATGTCTCATCACGAATGCACGCCAGTCTTGTACACCTGGGTTTATTTTGGTCCCCGAGCGGCAATTACATGACATCATGATCAAAGCCTGGTTTGTGGAATTTCCCCACAATGAGAATCTCACAGCATTGAAAGAAAGAAAGCTAGCTAGGTAGCTATGCTGAATGCTACAAAATCACAGCATTTCAGTATCCAACAATATCAATGATACAAATGAAGATATGTCCTAGCCATCACAATAAATGGTTATTTATTATACCACATCCTAGCTTTTTTTAAATCACAGCATTTCAGTATCCAACAATATTAATGTTACAAATGAAGATATGTCCTAACCATCACAATAAATGGTTATCTATCTATTACACCGCATCCTAGCTTTTTTAAAATCCACATTGTACAAAAAGAAAAAAGACATCAAGTATGGTTATTTTTTTGCTCTTTTTTCAGTAATGTTTTTGAGGCACTGGGATTTATGAATTATGGTTCCTTTGCATAAACAGTGGATCTGATGAGAGTAAAATATACATGTTTTTTAAAAGTATGCAAACAAACAAACAAAAAAACCCTCTACAACTGCCAAAACAGTTTACACCATGTGGGTGAGGAGAAATAACAATTTCTGAATGCTTCATTTCATGACATTTGTGGTCCTCTTGGCATGTTTCGCTTGGCGCTCCGTCTTGTATTCATGGACGGCAGAAGGCGGTGTGCCACAATCAGCGTTTTAGGAAAAACAACAAACCCTTTACCCCCTCCCTCCCTTGAAGCATATACAATTTTGCTATTACAGAAAAGAGCTGCAGAAGTTTTCCTTTGCAGAAACATTAAGGCTTTGGGTGTGGAAAAAGCAAATTCATGCTTCTTGCTTGGCCAGAGCTTCTGCCTCCTGGAAGAACGACAACAAGGACCAGAATGAATAAAATATCTATCTGGGCATGTGCTATGAAGTAAAACATGGCAACTTGAACATGAGCGCTTGTTCTGATGGGCTGATGGAAATGGACAGGAAGCAACAAATTATGACAGCACTTGAGGAAATCCTGGAGACACTTCTCTCAATGCCAGTAGATTCTGAAAGATGCTGTGGTGGACCACCATGCAGACAGGTGCTTAAGGGCCCCAGAGTCAGAGAGGAGACTGTTGGCTGAAGAGGAGAGGTTGGAGCGCATTTTCCACCTGTGCTGAGAACCACCTTCAAACGTGAAGAGCTAGGTAAACCATTTGTGACTCAAATAATGGCTGAAACCCCACAGTTGCCACTTCCTCATCTTATGTGGACAAGTCCCAACATCTTGGTTCACTCTACCCAAGCAGCTGTGAAGAGGGAGTGGCTGCAGGGCTAGAGGAGAGAAAGGAAAGGGGCAGGAGCGTCCAACAGTCCATGAAAGTCCAATCAGACCATAGTTGGACGTATCATTTGACGCGATTGAAGTATCCCTTCAAGGGGTGAAAGAGGTCTCTTGGCCAGAAGCACGTGGCGTTCCTCCCTTAGGTCTCTTGCACTCAACATGGTCTCTGGAGGGTAAACACAGGCTGAATGTTCGGGGCTGATGGCTGAAACATGTATCTCTGAAAAAAATCCCACCATGGGGTTGGGGGCCAGGTCAGTTGTTGTGAACCCCCTTCCTTCTGGATGTCTACTTTGATCCTCAGTGGCTGAGATATCCGACGTTTAGGATGAACTCACAGCATAATTGAAAAATGTGCTCCAACATCTCTTTGCCTTACTCATGCACTAGGGGGTGACAATTTCATTCCTACAGTTATGTATTAATGCAAAACCCATAGACAGCTAGATCTACTGTGTAGCCCTCCTGCGCCTAGGGATCTGCTCCTAGGTTGTTAAAAACTCCCAACTCCTGGAATTCTCAACTAATTCCCCAAGCAAAATTCTGGCAATTTCAGCCTCCACACACCTGCAGATACCTACATTTCACTCACGTGAAAAAGGGACAACCCTCTAAGGATGCATGGCCTTCCCTGGCCTTGCCTCCTGTAATTAATGGGAAAAAATTGAAGCTGACATAATGCTTTCTGGGAGTTCTCGTTTTCTAGGAGTTGCCCTCCATAGAGCCTAACGAGCAGCAAAACTACAACTCCCAAGATGCACCACCGCAGCTTCCTTTTTTAAATTAAAAAATAAACAGGAAGCAAGGCTCAAATGCTGATTATATACTATTTCCTTTTTACTTTTCCAGAAGAGAGTGACAAACCTGAAAGCAACCATATTAAGAAACAACCTTATTACATGGGAGTTACGGACAAACCTACATTTCTTTGTGCCAGTTTTTTTCTTGGTAGACGTTCAAGTGATCTTCATGTACTGCCATGAAGCCATCTGTTACTGTTCCAAACGTCTTATCTGGTGCTACCAGTATCAGAGGGGAATTTTTCCCATTGTGAGATTCCTGCAGAGGTCTTAATGCTTAATGAGCCAAGACGGTTGCCACAAGACAGGTCTGCCAGCTCCCAGGGCAAAAATCTGTTCCAAAGCAGCCACAGTGGCCTGCATGTTCAAAGGATGGTCACGTGTTTCTCTGCTAAGAGATGCTTTCGGGTACCTGAAGGAAGCTTTCATGCATTAAAGCTGAGGCCAAAAGCAGCTTTCCGCCTTTTTTTCTTTTGGAAGCTAGAAGACTTTTTTTTTTTTTTTTTTTGCTTTTTTTAGTGCAAATAAACAAATATGGTTCCATCCTGGAAAATGTTCTGCAAATGTTCTCCTTGGCAACAAACCTTTTAAAAATTCTGTTGTCAAAAAACGCCATTCTTTACAATCCTCATTTGCTCCTGGGTTTTCCCTTCCTGCCCTCCATAGGTTCCAGAGTTCTATATTCATTTAAGGCTCAATCTGCTTATTACAGTAAGCACCACTTTACCCCACCCTGTCTTACAGTTTGCACAAAGGGCCATGGGGGGGGGAAAGAAAGGGGCACAGTGAATAAAAAAACACTCTGTAGGAAGAGGTGGCATCATTTTTCCCTCCATGCACTGCTGATGCTCTGTAGCAAACTGTACCTTCCAAGGCCAAAAGCAGTGTGGAAAGAGAGAGTCATTTGGGGTGGGCAAAAAGCATGGGGAGATATAGTTAACTCCCTCACTGGGTGTTGCAAGCATCATCCAAATCAACGTGCCACCCCCACAACTGCCTTTTGCAAAAAGGAGCAGACATTTCACAGGCATATGAAACAGATGAATGGCTACCATGAATGGCTGGTTAAATTGTAAAGTATTCTCCAATTGTCTGTGGACAAACGTGCCTTTATTCTGTCCATGGTTTGTGAATGTCAGACAGTAATATTCGGTACTGAAGAAGAGGACTTCTGTCTCTTTATTGTGCTGATAACACAAGTACAACAACAATTACCTTTGAACCAGGTGGAGGGGTCAATCCTAGAAAAGCATATACTGCGTTATTCTCTCTAGCTTCAAAGAAAGCTTCATAATCCTTTTAGAGGGGAGAAAAGGAGAGAATTAAGTTAATATTAGGGCCAAAAAGATCCAACCGAAGGTCTTAGTCATTGATGCAGAGTGGCTGACATAAACAGGGGCTAAAATATTTAGGCAGTGGACCCTGAAGAGGGGAACAGATGCTAAGAGTGACACAAATTTGATGTAATGATTATAGTTACATGATGCTTACCCAGTTAGTCTCCTATCAACTGACTTGTTGAGCTTCAGCAAGCATCACCTGCCTTTCAAATAATGTCCAGGGACCTTAATGTCAAGGGTCCTCAAAGGAACATCCTTAACTATCTATGTTGTCTTCTCAGAGGAATAGAAGAAGAGATCCAAAGGTCATTGGGTCTATTCTTTTGTCACCACCTCCCAACCTAACAATTCTTCCGCTGAACAGCTCTTATGGACCTAGAAGTTCTTTCTGAAGGTAAGTTCAATCTTCTTCCTCTTAGTCCAATGGTTCCCAACCAACATTGGGTTCCCAGATGTTCCTGGACTACAACTTTCAGAAACCCTGGCCAGCACAGCTAGTGGTGAGGGCTTCTGTGAGTTGCAATCCAAGGGTAGCTGGGTTGGGGACCACTGCCTTAGTCTGACTCCATTGGCTCAGGTCTTAGTCTCTGGAATGGCAGAAAACCAGCTTGCCCCATCTTCCATGTGACAGTCCTCCTCCAAACATGTTCCAGCTAAATCAGTGGTACCCAACATTCGGCCTCCAGATGTTCTTGGACTACAACTCCCCGAAGCCTTCTCCACCACCTCTGCTGGCCAAGAACATCTGGAGGCCCAAGGTTGGGGACCACTGAGCTAAATGGCATCCTTCTTAAAATGCACTGCCCAGAAATGGACCCTCTATTCCAGGTAAGGCTTGACCAAAGCTGATGTAGCTTTGAATTGTGTTAGCATTTCCCCCCTTTTCCCCACTTCACATAATTGACTCATATTTAACATGTGGTCTCTTAAGACCAAAGATACCTTCCACATAACTCTGCCCTCCAAACAGAAAACAAGGATACTTTTAGCACAGAGTAGAACCTTTTTGATGCCAATTCTGTATTTTTTTTAATGATCTCCCTTAGGAAAGTTCAGTTATACACGTCATGAATGGCTTCGGAAGGCAGTGTATCTGCCAAGACTTTGGGGGAGGCAATGGGATGGATTTCGTAATATACTTAGGCATGGGGAAGTTTGTCTCAGTTTTCTTCGGCAGAATTCTTCTTATGCACTGTCTAAGCAAATGTAAACTTTTCCAAATGCATTAATTAGGAGAGGTGGTTTTTTTAAAAAATTGCTGAATTGTTTTGTACCAATATCATATTGGGCTATATCCAGTTGCCATCCTCCACGAGAGGATCCACTCAATGAATCCTGCTCAAAACATACATACAACCTGAGTTCATTAAATGAAAAATTCCCAAATCCTGAGTGGTCTACAGTCATGGTAATTTCCTAGTTCCCAAATATAGCATCTGCATGGCATTTTTCTTACATTAAATATATATATAGCTTGAATGTGGAGCCAAAATTGTAGGTTTTAGCCTCTATGTCAATGGCTACACAAACAACTTTAAGATCTTGCTTCTACTCTCCACTACCCCCACCCCAGGCAACTGCCTGATTATTAACCAGCAGTTGAGTCAAAAAAGTAGAAAAATCAGATTTCAGCACGATCCAGCAGTGGTGCTCTGACTTCCTACCACCCATCAAGCTGGAACCTTCAAGCAACAAACTAAAAAGTGAGTGTGTGTGTTTATTTTTTCCTACCATAGAAATCGGGTAAGATATTACGGGTGATTCTGATAATAATGCCAGTTTGAGCCTCCCTTCAATTCATTTTTGGTGCACGGTACACATTCCTCCACTGTCTTTATTTTGAGCTTTTCATATTTCGACTGTAATGCACCTTCAGTCTTTTTCAGACAAAAGGTAGCTAAGAAGAAATACTGACACTTATATCAGAAGCGATACTTTCCGTGAAGCCATGCTTGTGACTTATAAATCAGCTCTTCACAAAGTCATTTATACGTAAATGAGAAACGTGTAAACTAACTGAATCAGGAAGCCAACGTCGGACAAGTATTTCAACACGGGAGGAAATTCCACGACTGTGCAACTGGTTATGCAAATATCACATATTTCGGAAGAGGAGCATTTTCCTTCACTTTCCTCTTAAGAGTGCCTCTTGGTGCCTTAAAAAAGTAATGCTATCCTTCCTGGGTGGAGAAGAATGACAGAAGATAAGCCACCCAACAGAGTCTGTTTAAAATGTACAGTGGGGTCTTGACTTGAGAACTTAATCCATATTGGAAGGCGGTTCTCAATTCAAAAAGTCTGTAGGTCAAGTCTCCATTGACCTACAGTGCATTGAAAACCGATTAATCCCGTAACAGGCCGTTTTTGTTCCATTTTGGTTTTTTTCTGGTCTGTAAGTCAAATCTCAGTCTGCAAGTCAAACCTAAATTTTGCGGCCAGAGAAGTCTGTAACTCAAGCCGTCTGTAAGTCAAGGGTCCACTGTAATGCGGATCTTCGTTGTAACCAACAAAATATTACATCACTACATTAAATCACAAGGACTCTGTGTTGACAAGCTTAGTGGTCAAATGCAACAGAACTGGAGCCTGTATTTTGTCCAGTTGCAACTGAAAATGCCAATCAACAGAGAGATCCAGAGCTGTCTCAAATGCCACCCCCACCCCCGTTTCCCAAATGACTTTCCCACAGGCCTCGTCCCCTTTTACCTCTTCATCTTGACCTCTCTGATCTCATGGGATCACAGAGGCCGAACAAGAATTGCCCAGCTCACTCCCAGAACGAGTGAAATTGACCACGGGCTCTCACCCCAAGGTACCGGCTGTCATTAAAGATCCGCGGGGGCAACGGATTCCCACTGGTGGGACGGCTCTCTTCGGGGACGTTCTCTCGCATCCACTTGCGGTTCTCTTCATTGGCCGCTATGTCCTTCTCCTCAAACTCAATCTTGTTGGCTTCCAAAAAGCCAAGCACATCTTGCTGCTGCTTTTTGATCTAGAAGCAAGACAGAAGACAGGGAGACTCATTTTCTAGTCATGGAACCCCGCCGTTTCAACTCACTTCTCAGCAAACATGTTTCTACAGCAGGTTTGCATGAAGAACACGTGGAGCTAATAGTTGGGAAACAGCAGGAGTGCTTGCCACGTGTACGATTCCATTTCTCATCTGCAACTCAAGTTTCTAGGTCTCAGGGTTTCCTGTGAACAAGAAAATTGCTAATGCATGCAACACACTTTACTCTCTTCCTCGTGTAAGCCAAGTTCTTCAAGAGGTGCCCTGAAGAGCATAAAAGGCAACAGTTGCCACCACACGAAGCCTCGTGGCAGCTTCCTCCCATGAAGCATTACAACAGGAAGTTAAGGCCTAGAAGGAGACCTTGTCCAGGTGAGTGAAACGAAGGTGTCTGCTGGTATGTGCTTGTGAAGTGGAACTCCCCAAATTCTGCCTGGGGAATTTTTTTTTTTTTTTTTTTTTTGTGAATTCTGGGAGTTGGGAGTCCCCAAACAGAACAAAACAAACACCACACCCCTAAGATTCAATAGCAAATTCAACTGGTTTTATGCATGGGAAAGAAGTGGTTGGTCCTCACCATTTTTTATCTCAGGCAAATATGGAAGAAGAAGAAAACACTCTCGACAGCAAAGCCAAGAGTCACCCTGTGGTCTTCCAGAAATACATTGTCCCGTTCGACCAAAAGGTGGTGAAGTGGGGAAGGCTAATGAGGGCCTTTGCTTAGCGATCTATGACCAGTGCCCTGTATTTGAGCTGATGTGGAAGGTTACTACAATGCAAGTCACCAGACACACTGGAATTTCACAGTCCCACTCCTGATGGGCTTCAAAATCTGGCAATTCATTGTATACATGACCCTCTGTGGTAAACTGCATCCATGGTATACTGCCAGGAGCAAATTTCAATTGTTTAGAATGATTCAACAAACTTTGTTCAGACTGAAACAGCTGCTGTTGTTCAACAACAAGAGAAGCCCCTTGTGTATGAATGAATACAAAATGCCAGAAATGTGAGGGTGGAAAGAAAGGGGGAAAATACTCAAAATCTGCCTATGAGAAAACAGAAGTATTAATTCAGTCCAAATGACCACTGCTCCATGGAAGAAAGTACATGAACAGCCAAAGTAAATGTACCGGGGGCGGGGGGGGTTAGATTCAGTCTGGCTCGCTGGAGAGCTCAGTCAGTTAGGTATCTGGCTATGGAGCCAAAGATTCGGAGTGTGATTCCCTACAGGGCCTCTTGGGAGACGAGGCAGCCTTTGTAATAAAAGAAGGGGAGTGGAAACCATGGCTTTAATCCTGTCACATGCTATGTTGTGTAATTGTGATAAAGTTACTAGCAAGGAGATATTTTCAAGAATTAAATAATTCCTGCTTTTGTCCTATAGCTTGTCCAACTCACATGTAATGTCTCATTATGTTTTAGCTGTGGGAGCCCTGGGACGAAAGGAGGGATTCTTCTAATCACTGAAAATTTCCCCATGCTACTGACATCATCATCCTTACATTAGTGTAATTTACACAACAGGATTTTGGTCTACAAATGGCTTTTGCTGCTTATGGGTTATAGCATTAAATGTTATTTGTACAAAATGTGGGTTTCCTTGGCACAGAAATCTTCGGAAAGCAAAGCATTAGAGCTCCTGCTCTATAAGAGTTCTGGGATGGGATTTGGAAGATCCAGATTCACATTTCTGCTGGGTAACTTTGGACCAGTCTTTCTCTCTCAGCCAGGCCTACCTCACAGGACTGGTGTGAGGGGAAACTGAGGAGAAGGAGGAGAGTCCATTTGACCTCCTTGAGCTTACTGAAGGAAAAGCAGGATATAAACATAACTAATAAATAAATAAGATTAAATAAATCTTGCTTGCCTCTGGTCAACTGCATGCAATAATATGCTGGTTCGGTGGGTGGTGTAAAATGTAATAAACACACATTTTTGTGCAAACCCTCAGCGCTTTTACTGAACCATTAGCTCTGTGACATTAAAAACTCCTTTAAGTTCTCCCAACTGAACTGCCGTTGTAATATGAAGGAATGTAGAATTGTGCATGCAAGGAAGCTGCAGAGCTGCACATCTGTCCTTCTCAGATCAGTCCTGTCACAAGGATGCCAGTGAAAAACCAGGAGGCAGGAGTTGTTCAGCTAATTAGCCCATCGTGAGAAAAGCAATGCTGCCTTTGGGGGGCAGATCTTGGACTCCACCGGCTGCTTTTCCCATATATGGGCAAGTAAAAAACATAAAAATCCTCCACCCTGCAGATGTGAGGTCAACAGACAGGCAAAAATGAGCTCCAAATATGGTTGCTGAACTCCCTGGCATGCAGGAGACGGAAAGAACAAAAGGGAAAGCGGGAGGGGAGGGGAAATAAACAGAAGCTCATTACTAATATTATGGTAAGCTCTTGGTAGGAAGAAGCTTACTCCCTCTTTCGCAATGACCCTCAGTTTGCAAAGGAGGGAGGCCTGAGCTGCGAACACAACAGAACAAGGTGGTACTGTATCGCTGTGTTTGAATTACACAGCTATATAATAATCTGACACCATTTTAAGTCACATGCCTTGCATCTGGAAAAAACCCTGGGATCTGTGGTTTGGTGAGGCCCCTAGAATTCTCCACTAGAGGGGTCTTGAGCATTACCAGCAGAGATTACAAAGGGCTTGATCGTAATACAGACATCAGGATCCTATAGGATGGAGCCTTAAAGTGCTGAGTGACCAGCAGCTATTTGTCTAACTCTACTGGGAGGGCCATTCAAATCTACATTTGAATGTGGCCTTGGGCTCTTTATAGGGGGCAAGGAGGGGCAAAAGTATTTCATGTTAAATAAATCATACATCCACAAAGGTGAAAATCTGAAAGCTGCCCCTTCTGAAATGACTCTGCAGTTCCCATTTTGGAACCTGCTTTAAACCAAGGAGCTTGATATCTGCATCAAATCGTGCTTTTTTGGGGATCATTTTATATTTGGTCTGCATGTCCTCTCCTCCGCGCCAGCAGGAGCCGAAAGCTAGGTTCTAACAAAATTACCCATGCAAGACTAGAAGCAGCAGCAGCAGCTTCATTTGTGACGACTGTCCCCTTGAAGGTGTACATGAGTTTGGAAAGTAGCCGCTGGGCCTACAGGAGAAGAAGCTGAGATGGATGCACTGCATAGTCCCCCTGCTTTGTACCAGGCTGGTTAGCAATCCAAAGGAGATCAGAAAATCTTAAGAGATGTTGAACCCACAACTTTGTTTCTTACAACAAACTCTCCATGGCGCCTGCCTAGCCTATCTAATGCAGTCGTGGGTCTAGAGATGCTTCCAGATTCATGCTTCTACCATGCCATCATCCTGCTTGTATTCAAAGAAGAAGCTTGAGGTCCAAAGAAGAGCTGATGTTGGTAGGTACAGTGGGGGATGCTGCTTCATGGCCACTGCTCAAGAAAGACTGAGCTGCTGATCCAGGTCGTGAAATGGAGCGCCATTCTGTTCCTTGCCTCAGGCAGCAAAATGACTTAGGTTTGCTTGAAAGACGGGCTGCCCTAAAGATCACTGTATATAGTTCCTATCTCACATAATGCCTTTTCCCCCTCTGCTCCGCAGAACTTCAGTTTTGTATCAAAGAAGACATGAAGGCTCTCACCCCAAATTTATCTAAGAACAAGCACACAAATTTGTCTATACAGTGGTGCCTCGCTTAACGACGATAATCCATTCCAGGAAAACCGCTGTTAAGCGTAAACATTGTAAAACGAAAATAAAAACCCCACTGAAACACACTGAAACCCATTCAATGCGTTCCAATGAGGTAAAAGCTCACCGTCCAGCGAAGATCCTCCATACGGCAGCCATTTTTGCTGCCTGTATAGCGAGGAATCTGTCCCTAAACACAGCGGGGAGCCATTTTAGTTACCCAGTGGCCATTTTGAAACCATCAATCAGCTGTTTAAAAATAATCGTTTTGCGAAGAATCGGTTCCCGAAGCAGGGAACCGATCATCGCAAAGCAAAATTCCCCCATTCAGACCATCGTCTTGCGATCGCAAAAAGATCGTCGTTAAGCAGTTTCATTGTAATGCAGGGCAATCGTAAAGCGAGGCACCATTGTAATACATAATTGCTCAGAGGAAGCCTTGCCACACTCATAAAACTACAATTCCCAGATTCCTTGAAAGGGATTCAGGCGGTAGCAATCGTAAAGCAAGGCACCATTGTAATACATAATTGCTCAAAGGAAGCCTTGCCACACTCACAAAACTACAATTCCCAGATTACTTGAAAGGGATTCAGGCGGTAAACAATGATGATGCACCGTCAAGTCAATTCTGACTTATGGAGACCCCCTTCCAGGGTTTTATAGGTGTAGAAGGGTACTGAGAAGCGGTTTACCATGCAGATTAGTTTTAAACAAACACACACCAAGGGGTGGGTTGTACTAAAGTACATCTATGAAGGTCTCCCATGAACTCTGCTAAGGTTCTGAAACGCCACCGATTTCCACAAGGCATTCTCGGTTCCGAGCCAACAGCATCCGTTCAAATTGTTGAACCCTTGCTGATAAATCTCAGAAGAGGCCTCCATTTCAATGGGAATAAGGCCATAACAAGGCATGGCGGGCCCTTGCCAAGGTAAATTAATTTATCCACAGGGAACCAAGCCAGTCTGAGGTCCACACCAGTGCGTTTTGCCTTCGTTTTGACATTCCGAAGAACACGAGGAATGTGCTTCTCCTTCCAAGTCCAAAAGAGCGCCCTGCGAACAGACCAGCTGGGAACAACTGTTGCATTTCAGAGCCTCAGACAAAGGAAGGGCCGGAGCCGGCCAAGATGTTAACCAGCGGGCTGCAGACAAAGCAAGCCGAGAACTTTTTATCTGAAAAGGGCACAGAATTTGCTTGTGTTCTTGGCAACTGCCTGCCATGTCTGAGTTGTGCTACAATTTCACAGTGGCTCAGGTCAAAAGGGATTGTGTGAATTTATCATCTGTGACTTGCCGGTTG